CCATTGCCGTCGCCACCACCACAACACCACCGCGCACCACCACTACCGTTGCACCACCACCACCAATCTCAGTCATCGTCACAGTAAACACCATCACCACCATTCGAAATACACCACCAACCAACCATCACAAAAATCACCTCAAAAACATCGCCACGGCAACGGATCGATCACCACAATAACACCACCAACACCATAACCGCACCCAACCGCATTAAGAAAAGGGATAAGAAGAAGAAAAATAATAGATCCGTAAAGCCGTCGCCGCGCCGTGATGAGTCTGGCATCAGTCGAAGCGATGCTGCTGCGAATGGCAGCGGCGACATCGTGACACTGCAGCATTGGCACCCATCACGATTCTCACAGCATCGGCCGACGACGTCAACTCATCCGTTGTTGTCTCCTGCACCGACGACGACTGTAGGATAACAGAGGGAGAGAGAAATGAGCGATGAGACGAGAGAGTTAGAGTTGGGAAGAAAATGATAAATTAGGATTTTAAATTTTGAATAATTATAATTATAAAATATAATTACCACCTGATTTTTGATAAAATAAACTTTACACATGATTTGTGAATTTGGAAACTTAAATGCATGTTTTCGGGTAATTTTCTCCATAGGCCCATTATGAGCCTGCCCAACTAGTCATACAATTCAATCGAGCCCCATAAATGTGTCATGACCCGACCCAAGTGATCCTATCCAAAATCCAGATAAGAAAAAGAAAAAGCTCAAAAACCAGTGGAATTGGAACAGGAACACAAACCGCAATTATGGCTGCCACATCCATAACCAACCTGTTCTCTTTCTTCACACCCTCAAAACCACCATCTGCTCCGACCAAAGCTGCGCCGTTCCAACTCCCCCTCTCCTCCTCCGCTGCCACCACCACCACGGAAGACCGGTGGGCCCCACTAGTCTCCTCAAATGAACTCCAAACAAATACATTCTCCTCCCGCTCTTCTGACGTCATTTCCGTCGTGTGCCCATCCCTCGCGTACGCTAACACCCTCTTCTTCCGGTCGGCGTATAATGTCCAGGTTATCGTCGATGACAACGAGCCGGAGGAGAAGCTACTCGGTCGGTTCCGAAGGGAGGTTATGAGAGCTGGCGTCATTCAGGAATGCAAGCGCCGCCGCTTCTTCGAGAACAAGCAGGAAGAGAAGAAGCGCAAGACCCGCGAGGCTGCCAAGCGCAACCGTCGCAGGTTCCCTTTCTTATCTCTCCCTTTCACTCTTTATCTTTAGAATTATAATAATTGTGCACAAATTTGTGATCAATTAGCTGAATATTAGTGAAATTTTAGTCAATTTCTTCTGTTTATGTGTAGTTGGGCGGTTGAACTTGCTATAATTTTAATTCATAGGCTCGTGTTGCTTGTTATGTTGGTTTTATTGTTTAATTTAGTGGTACTTGAGTTTTGGGGTTATTTTCCCTTTTGGTGTAGAAAACGAAAATCCTCTCTGGAGAAGATTAGGGAAGTGAGCTCATAAAAATGTAAACTTGGGGAGTAGTATTACCATTACAAATCCATAACTGTACCATCTTCTAAGTATTCGATAAAACAAAAATGGAAATCCACACACCCACCACCACAAATTCCTTTACACTATGCCTTGGAAGGCCTTATGTTCGATACGCCCAACTTGAGGATGCCCAGAGTTTCTCCTTCAATTGTAGCATTTTTCAAGACAACCAGCATTAGCCATCCAATCTGTGGTGACTACCCCTCCCTCTCCAAATGTGAGAAAAATTGATCTCCGTTTTGCTTCATAGTGATCTAGCTTCTTAGAGCAGATATTGGACATCCCAAAGCCAAGGGCCCATTTGTTTGCGTTGCAGCAGTTGAATTTTAATTTTGCAATCCAGTTTTTGATAAAGTAATTCACCGATGATTTTACTTTTACCACAGGCGCCCTCAATCAAGAAACTTCACTCAAGATAGACAAAATACATCCGGGAACAAGAAGAAAGAGGAGGAAGATAACTGGGATCTTCCTGAAGGCAACCTTCCCTATTAATCTTCTCTCCATGTTCTCTCATTAGAATACTGCTGTGTAATTGAAAGATAATTTTAGTAAATGGCAATTCCAAGGAATTCTTTTGATTGTTGCATTTCTATTGATGGACATAAGATATTTAATTTCAAAATGTAATTGTGGGTTTTTAGTTTCATTTGATTGACTGCATGGATATATCTGAATGGTATGGTTGAAGACATCATTATGCATAATTGAAGGTTGAAAGAAGTTTCCAGTTAATGGGAAAACATTGTGAAAATAGAAGAGTATATATTACTAAATTCAAGTGAGAGAGGATCTAACCAACTAATTGGAGGATGGCTTTCAAAATTACTGACTCGCAATTGGATCGCTTGCTCGTTGAACGCTGCGGATGAAGTGAAGAAAAGTTTGGACAGCTCAGCATCACTATCACTTCAGCATGTACCTCCATCATACGTGTGACGACGTTATTTTACATTGTTAAAAATAAGGGGTGTTTGGGGATGCCACCGCCCTAGTAGTAGAATTGGCGCCTCAACAGTCAACATTGTGCAATAGGACAATCTTATCCACTGGCAAGACTCTTAGGGTTTATGGGCCCCGTGGGCCTCTATGTCTGTGTAGCCAAGTCTCCATTTCATTTTGCAGAAATTACATGAAACCAGAATTTTAAACTTTCCATTTCAAAATTCAAATTTACAAGTTTTTATTTCAAAAATCAGATGATAATTAAAATTTTAAAATATTAATAATTTTATTACAAATTTAATATACATATTCATTCTACCCAATCATACACACTAAAACTCTAATTATTTCATTATTTTCATTTTCTCTCCTCTCTCTATTCCACCTACTCTCTAGCCATCCGTCGCCGTCGGCACTACTACCGCTGGCACCATATTTCACATGGCTCAAAGTGGAACTTCTACGGCAGTATAGTCGTTGCTCTCCCTCTCCTCTCCCTCCTCCCCTTCATCGTTTTCCATTTGTCGTGATGCAGTCCCACACCAGTGTCGCGCGAAGCAGCTTGTGACCTTTGCTCAGCCGCTTCGATGTGGTTTCTTCTGTAGTGATTTTGCGGCGTTGTGCGATGGTTTTCGTGATCATCATTGTAGCACGAAGTGAGGGATCTTTATGCCAATCTTTATTTATATTCATGATACACAAATAACTCGTTATAAAATTATGTATTTTATCTCACATATATATAACTAGGTTTAAATAGTTCACTTATAATCAAATTAGTTTATTATATAACAAATATTTTTTATTGATTAAAGTAAAGATAAATGATTTATTTGAACAGTATGAAATGCCACATGTTTGACCTAACTTAAAAATAATAAAATTTCTTCTAATGTATTTTTTTCATATATTACTCATTGTCCAAACAAATGAATTAGGATATTTGTGTAATTTGTGTTATATATTTTTTAATACAANAATTAATTAAAATAAGAATACAAAAAATTAAAATATAACGAACACTGTTCATTAATGCATTTATAATAATTTATAATAATGTAAATATTTCATTAATGAATTTAATATTTTCATTAATTTAACGTAATTATTTATTTAGTAATTTTGTAGTTGTAAAATAAATAAATAAATATTTTTTTTAAATAAATAAGTTGTTAAGAATTAAAAAAATGAAGAAAATTATTAAACACTTTTCATTTGGTGTAATGGTTGTAGATTTTTATTATAAAATAGTGCAGAATTTACCTCAAATTTTGGTGCAGGATTGAAGAAGGCATTATGGCTTATCTTCCAAAAAGAGAAGTGATCATCTTTACTCGAATTGTAGTTGAAGATTGGGAGTAATTTGCAAACTTCTTGTGTTTGCTAAAGGGTACAAGGCTACTGTCATTGACGTGAGCAACAATTCATCAAGCCAAGTACTAGAAGGACTAACTGATCTTCCAATAAATGGCCTAATTCCTCGAAGCATGACAGACATGACGGAATTGAATCTCTTGAACCTGTCGTACAATGAATTGCTCAACCCTTCTATCTACATTTACAATCCTGGACTCTGGTTCACCATTGCAAACAAGTGTAATGAGGTAAATAAGCCATCGTGAAAATCTAGTTTCTATAGAGAGCAAGGATGGTGAAAATGACAAATGGTGGTTATTCCTCAGTGTGGAACTCTAGTCCTAAACAATTATGGGAGGCATGCATATTTCCAATTTGTCGATGAAGAATTAGATTGGTTGTTTGTTTCAGTTCTTACTTGACTCATCTGTGGAGAGTAGTCAGTTCAGATTTTGTAATTGTGCGTCGAGATGAATCTCCCGGAATACAGGATCTATGCATTAAAGGAATTTTGTTTTTTGCTAAGAAAAATAAGGGTTAGAAATGCAAAAATGCTTTCGTAACATCATTAAAGCAAAACAAATTGAAATATTCAATCTAACCAATTGAGGTATTATATGCTTAAGAGGTAAAGAAACGAAAAGTTGATTTATATGATTCGATTTGCAAAATTTGAAGCAACTAATACTAAATAAGGATAACCACAATACGATGCAATCCCATATTCAAACAGAAATCGTGGGAACATCACAATGAGTAGACAGAACCGGACTGACTGAATTAATTTACAATTAATGACCAGACCAACCAGTAACGAGCAACATCAGAACCTGTGTAGATCAATCATCTGTGCCAAAATAACGATCCCCAAATTCTCCCATACCTGGTATCACGCGATATTCTTCATTCAGCGACACATCAATCTCTGATGTCACAATTTTTAAGGAGGGGAAACGTTTACAAACACACTGTATTCCTTCAGGTGCCTATATTCAAATATAAAGCAAAATAACGAGTGAGAACATGTGGCAATACTGTCAAAAGAAGGGAGTAAAAGGAGTCCTTCAAAAAAGTTACAGAAGGCACTCACGGAGATGAGGTTTAGGAAAATAATATGAGATTCTGGAACACCTTTCTGTATGAGTAACTCAATTGCCTGATTAGCAGAGTTACCTTCAACAAACAATTAACGATAAGTTAAGTCTAATGTCATAAAAGAAAAGAGGGAAGTATAGCCTCGATGGCTGCAAATCCCCCGTACTCCACTTTGCGGCAGAAAATACAAAAAGGAAGTTAGAAACCACCCTAGTGCTAGAAGATTAATTTTCCATGCTACTATGAATGAGAAAATTCTGCTACCTGTAGCAAGGACTGGATCTAGGAGGAGGACATGGCGTTCTGAAATATCTTTTGGAAGTTTTTCATATATAAGCTGTTTAAATAGGCAAGAAAGGGGCAAAACATTACACGTTCAATCATTGACCTATTGCAATATGAAACCATGGTAGAAGGCTCCCATTATAGAAACCAAGTGAAAGATCACCTGTTTCCCATTGTCACCATCACGGTGGATCAGAATTTTCCCGATTTTAATTCCTTTGCAACAAGCACGCATAGCATTTTCCATACTTTCACCACTGCGATTAGTTAGGACACCAAAGACAACAAAAATCCATACAGAAAATCAGCAACACCTTTCAACTAACAAAAAAAGGGTAAAAAGCCACCCAAGAAGAAAAAATGGTAAAAGGATAGAAATTGACTAAACCTATATAGTAAAATATCCCCAACCCAATTCATGTTACAAATCAAATTTTAGATGACATGGAGTTCAAAAGTAAAATTTTGAAATACAAGTAATATTTTAAATATTAAATATGTTTCCTCGAAGAATCCAATAAAACCTTTTCTTCTAATAAGTAAACCAACATTAATGAAACCACAGTCGCATTTTACTGAGAGCTGACTACTTCCCTCACCTTCGAACAATGGAAACTCCACACAATTTCTTGCAAAAGTCGACACCAGTATATAACGACCCTGCAGTAGAATCCCAGCAAAGTTTCAAAAATTCACATATCAGCAACTTCTATGCTTAGCAGGCTTTGAGAATGCAAACAAACTAGTTCAAATATCAGTGTTGGAGTTCACAGTCACAGAGAAGCAGGTTGCTTGGGTAGGTTAGCATGGGTTGAAAATGAGTTGAGGAAACTGGTTGACAACCAATCGTTCTATTTAACATGCAGGTTAAAAAATGGTTTGAATATAGTTTGTTCTAAACTTATTTGTCATACAAAAATATACATCTTACCCACTTCTTTTACAGTATAAACCTAAATTATGAGTTAGAAGAATTTAGCCAGTTCTATTTTCACATCTGGTAGATATTCAGGAAACAGTGCCAACATCGTAGAAATTGAGGACCACAATGATGAAGGAAAAAATGACAAACGAAGTCTTATTTCAAATAAAATTGAAACCAGCTACGAATCTATTTTCTTCCACTCCATTCGATCCATTGCTAGATGTTCAAATAAAATCAAATATTTTTTAAACATATAAACCATGTTGATTTTGCCTCCCTCTTCTATTTTGTCCTTTTGTCTTCTAATTGCTCTTGGCTAATAAATAGCAGCCTTCAGAGAGGTTTCTATGCCTCCTAGAGTCGAAACAAGCTAACCCAGCAACAAAGCATGAATGCATGTAATCTTATCTCTATCACGTTATAAGCAAGATTTATTGAAGTCTCCAGGCAGGACAATCATGACAGTGATTCTTTGCTCAAAGATCCACTTTAATGAGAGAATGTGCAAACCAAGCTGGAGATGAAAATTTTGAGCGTAAAAAATAAACACAAGAATAACAAAAAATTGAGCGCATGCTTCCCCAAGAATACATTTATTTAGCATACCTGTTGGAGTAACTATTTGCTTTTCAGTGAAGGGTAAATGACCAAGACCATGCTCCACTATCTGAAATACCACTTATCAAAAACTTCCGTGTTTGGAAAATATAGTGAATTTGTACTTTTGACATGATTAAGATGATTAAAAATTCACCAGACGAATAAGCCTGTCAGAATAGAATACAAAGTCGTGCTTCGATATATCTTGATCGCGAATCAGGGTATGCATGCCTCTTATCTGTAGACATCCAGAGCGCAAGCATAATTAATTATTGTTTTAGAGAGCCGAAAAGAGAACAAAGATGAATAGATTGAAGATTAAACCGTAATGACTGAAATTTTCAAAAATGAAAATTCCACTCCTATCGTGTCATAATGAGAATAAAGAGAAGGCTATACTAACACAAGCTTTTAATATTCAGTCACTTTATTTTATCTTTTTCTTGTTTCACATTTGCCGCAGCACCATTGTAAAGAAAGTAACTTTTTATGTACTTCCATCAGTAAACAGTTACCAATATATTGCACAACCTGACATAATATAAGTGTACCTATACATCACATCTTTCCTTTCCCCTTCCCACCAAATGCTGTTGCAAAATACATTTTGTATGCTAGTTTCTTCGGTTAATTAACGACTGAACATGAATCTCAATCATGAAAAAAGTACAAGGCATACCTGGAATGTCGACTGAATAACATACACATTAGGATATATTTTACAAAGGTCATGCTGGCCAAGCTTTGTGTGAATATGTTGCACAATCAAATCGATTGCAACATGATTATCACCACCCCGGGGTATGATAACATCAGCATATTTCTTCGATGGCAGAACAAAATCATCAAAAGCAGGTTTGACAAACTTTGCATACTGCAGACCAAAACATAGCACTTACCATAAATATATGATATAAGGTGGCTGGACGTATAGAGGAAATAATCTTGATGCATCTCAAGCAGAAATTCAGAAGTTAATGCACCATTCATAAGGTCTACCAACTATAACCAAGGAGAATGATAAAAAAATGTCTGAAAAAATCTATTAAAGAAAAAACTAGCAGATGACTAGAAAATGTAAGAGTTCTTTAAGTTATCCTTTAGATTTTTTAGTACATTTAGAATGAATTGAACATCAATTGAGGATATGCCATAAACATGAAAACTGCCTTGATACATCTAACAACCAGAAAGAGACAGATGTCTACAGCACATGGATTTACTGATTAACCACAAAAAAAAAAAGGAATTTTAAGAAAGAAGAAGCTTACCTGTTCAAGAACTGAATTTATGTCCCTACCCCTCTCTACTGTATCACGCCGTATTCTACGAGCAAGCCTCACATCAGCATCTAAATCGATCAATTGTTACAGTATAAGAAATTGAGAGAAAGGGACAAGAGATGATTACTAGAAACTCAAAGAAGTAACTCATTAATATGAGAGATATTGAGAAAAAAGGGAGAAGATATGATCACTAAAGTGAATACTCGTTAATCCATCTCCGAATTCTCAGGGGAGAGAAGGCTTGTATCTAAGCTGCTCCATGAGAAGAGGAAAATTGGAAGAGAATCTCCAACTTCAAATAACCCATATGTCTGCATTCAGATCTAGTTCAATTTCCAGGCCTCCCTAAAATGAACACTTGTTAACACCTGAATGCACTATATATACATCTCACCAGAGAACAAACTAACTACTCTCTTCCCGACCCCTTTCCTTCCCACCTTGCAATTGCTTCTCCCTACACACTAAACAAAACTACAACCATCGTTCCAAAATTATAACATGCAAAACCACAGTGACCACAAACCTGAGGTCTCTTAATGCTGCTAACATCAATCTAATATCCAATCTCGACTCCTATTACCAATCTTAGAACACGATTTGTGGTTTCTCTTTTTCTCATTTTAAAGAAATTTGGACTTTTAAGGGAGAAGCTGACGACTAACTCCAACTTCTTTAGAAATATAACATAATAAAATTAGATGCAACAATACACAGCTAAATTCAACCTGTGTCAACAAAAATCTTCATATTCATTAAGTTCCGCACACGTTGATCATGGAAGACGAGGATCCCCTCCAAGATGATTACATCAGAGGCATTCACCTAACAAAGTTTTTAAGTCAGTAATTTTGATAGCTATTAAATCGAGATTCAGCAGAAATCAACAATAGCACATCAACAGTATTGCTCTCCCACAATTCCATCCCCTCCTTTTCCCCGAAGAAAGCCACAATTCCCGACATAGAGAAAGATTAGAATCCTGAGGATTTCTTAAGCATATGTCAATTAGCACAATGCCACAAAATAAGAAAACACTGATGAGCATGTAACTATCATAATTATATATTAATGCAAATTGGTCATCAGATCATAACAATCATTCAGTCTGGGTACCAAAAAAACCCTTGATAGTCAAAGACCAAATACAGATTCAAATATTCGAAATTACTAGGATAATAAAGAAATGGAAGAGACTAAATTCAAAATTAGCCATTTTATTTTTTTTCGTTTCATTCCCAATTTACTCAAGATTCCAAAACTGCAAAGGTGGCTAACCAGGTGCCCTTTCCCACAAGTCGCACAAACATGCTGCAATAGCTCTACGATAGAATCCAAATCGAGCTATTCAAAAAATTCCCAGATGACTAATAATTTCAAGAGATCTTCGCAACGGTAGACAGTCCTCCCAACTTGCTCATATCACCATTATTAATCTTTCCTAAGAATTAAGATATTTTCACGACATAGGAATGTGAAAAAGAATAGCAGAGTCCTCATCTAGATTCTAATTAATAATATGAAATATTGAATTTGTAACTCCAAAAGTTTGCCACACCTCACTCTTCCTTAAGCTGATATAAAATGTTTACCTGTCGGAAGCTGTCTGAAGACCGTTGATGTGATTTAAAATCATACATTGGGACATGTACAGAATGTCCACTCTTTAGCTCATTAACGCACTCAAGGAGCTGCTCAGTGTCAAAAGCATCTGCAGGTAGATTATTTCATGATTGTTAGCACAAAAATATTTTTTCCCATGAATCCCAATAACAGCAAAACAAGTTTGAAAAGTAGAAACAAATCAGCTTGATCGGGAGACCCAAGCTCAAACGGATGCTAAGTTACCTGGATGATCAAAATTATATTCATGAACTCGTTGCAACTCTTCAGGAGTCAAGCCACGATAGAAAGAATCCTACACATGTACCAGGGTAAAATAAGGATTTTTTGCTCAGAAATGTGCATTCATTAAAGTAAAATAGACACACATATAGAAAGAACAGCTGAACAGCTAAATTCTTATCAACATATTGTTCATTTCCTTGCTGCAGTTTAAGAAAAGCACAGAAAATAGACATAATTAGAGCATACCTATTTCAAAACTGCCTGCTTTTGTTAATCCTAGCATTTACAGAAATCGGCCAGAATATTAAAAAATAAAAGAAAATAAAATAAAAAACACCCACAAACCTGGTTAACAAGCACGACACGATGATCATGAAGCTGTTGAATAATCATGTCACAGACTGTTGTCTTCCCGGATGCCGTACCGCCCGAAACCCCTACTCCACCAACAAAAAAAAATCACCGAGAAAGAACGACCCTAAGAATTTCGAATGTCGAATTATAAGAAAATAAAGAAAAATTAGACTAAGGCCGTCGCCATCAACCTAACTCGAATAAAACCGACTGCTAATCAGGTCGGGTTAGCAAACTAGTCCAATCATGAAGTACTGGTGAGAATCAATTACCAATAACGAATGGCTGCTTGAGGAGAGAGGAATCGGTAAGGGGAGTGGAAAAAGCAGGAGTAGTAGGAGTGGAGGAAGAACGAGGAGAAGATGAGCTCGCTGCTGCAGACATGAGGCCGTCAAGGCGGAGGCCAGAAAAATGTGGGCCCGACGCCGCTTCCATCACGTAATCGATTTCCTTCGTTTCCGCCAGCATCGTCTCCGTCACTGCACAGATTTGAGTAAAACGGAATTGTGTACCGGTTGGTTACGTTTTACAACTCAAACGGCGTCTTAATTTATAAGTTTACAGGCTGAGAATATATATTTCACCACTAAAAATAAAAAAATTAAAAAAGATAGAAAGAGAAAAAGGATGGTGCTTTAAGAATATGCCATTTTTCGATTCGCCAACTCTTCTAAAAATTAGTCTTAACATCAATTAATGTAGTTTTTCCAAAATAAAATCACTACTATATTAAAAGAGGGGATGAGCGATATACTGTTCATTCTCGCACCTTGCGTTTCACACTAATCTGGTTTTGTACTGTTCACAAACTGGATTCCTACTATTCACGAATCTCAAATATCTCTTCTAGCTTATTTTTCTGCCACAGCTGGC